CGCCCTGCGGCCATCCGTAGCTACGGCGTGGGCTGCGGGGGCGGTCGGAGAGGGCGGCAGCAAGGGCGGCGGCGGAGAAGGAGGCGGCGCGGCACGCCGAGGAGCTGCTGGCGGAGGTCGAGGCGGAGAAGCGCGCCAAGGGCAAGAAGGGCAAGAAGAAGAAGAAAAAAGGCGGCGGGAGCGGCGGGGCTGGGCCGTCGCAGGAGTCCGAGGCGCCGGCGGAGGCAGCCGCAGCCAAGCCCGCGCCGTTGGACAGGGAGGGGCTGCTCAAGCTTCTCGCGGAGCTCCACGAGGACAGGATTCGGTTCGGCATCACGCCGGAGACGTCGGTCGAGGGGCTGGCGGAGGCGCTGGGAGAGGCGGCGGGCGAGGCGAGCGAGGAGGAGGGCGAGGAGGAGACGGCGGAGGCGGCCGACGAGGAGGGCGAGGAGGAGGGCGAGGAGGCGGCAGCGGAGGCGCGCCGGCAGGCTGAGGCGGAGGCTGCGGCTGTGGGAGCGGCAGAGGAGGAGGAGGCTGCCGCAGCGGAGGAGGAGGCGGCCGAGGCGGCAGTAGCGGCGGCCGAGGCGGCAGCGGCGGCGGCAGAGGCGGCGCTCGCCGCAGCCAAGGCGAGGCGCGCATCAGTTGCCGCTGCGAGGGCCAGGGCGCGGGAGGCGGCCTAGCCCGCGCGCAAGGACAGCTGGCGCAGTGGTAGCCATGGGGAAGGGTCTCTCGTACTGTGGGGCGCGTTCTCTTGTGAACGATCGTGGCTGTGGGTTGGGCCCCGCGTCGCGCGGACGCGCGTGCGGTCCCTCGAGGTCTTGCCGGGAGCTGCTCACACAGCCGTACGTAGGGGTGGGCGGTGGCGTGAGAAAGTGGCATAGCCAGTGCCATTGGTGCGTCTGAGAGCAGAGTGCGAGCATCTCTGAGTCTGATCTCTCTCAGACACCAGAGTCCGCAGAGTGTGGGAGCTGTGACATAGACCAGCGCAAAGCGCCATAGGACGTATTTTCTTGTCAATAACAAGGTCTGTGAAATGAAATCCAGAAGGTGGCGACGCGACAGAGGAAAACCGAGGACCCCCCGCGCAGAGAGAAAAGAAGCGAAAGAGCCAGACGGCGCGCCCGAAAAAGAAAACGCAGGCCGCGGTGCCCAGCGCCAAGGGGACGCGAAGCGTTCTCTGGTAGGACGGGAACGAGATGATAGTAGGGAGTAGAAGAAAGCAAAGAGGAGCCCTGCGCACGCACGACTCCGCAGGAGAAACCCCTCCCGCCCGTGCTTGCGCAGCGCAGCCTCCTCCGAAGCGTGGACGGGGCAGAGGTCGCCGCCCTCCCGATCCGCGCAAAAAAGAGAAGGGTGTGGGCGTGGAAGCGACACCGACGGAATGCGCGGCGGAAGGAGCGAGGGAAGCTAGACCCTGACCTAGCCTTCTACGGGGTACCCGCAGTCGAAGCTCGAACCCATCTAGCATCTTGAGCCCGCTCGAGAGGGCGGACACGCGGGCGCAACGTCTGGGGATGAGGCCCCTTATCGATGAGGACCTAGCACACCTGGGGATACCCGCGGCCTACACATGGCACATACCCATCACCGGGTGGAACGCGCTCATGAAAGCACTGCACGGAAACGGAGTGAACAAGGGCAAACAGAAGAGGGCAACCGGGAAGAAGGCGCACGAACAAGCCCATTTCGCCACCCTCAACGTATGCGGCGGGGGCCTCGAGAGCATAGAGGGGGCGATGGAGGAGATCCGGGAACTAAGGGAGGGGGGAGCTGCACCGATTCGCAACACGGGAAGGGAGGCAACAAAGAAGCTGGTGGAAATCATCTCAGATACATAAGGCGCGTCACTGACAATAGAAGAGAAGAACTCTCTCTCTCTGACGATCCATCTTGCGCCAATCCTGTCCAGAACGTGCCTCGAGGCGCGCGCATCACGGCGGGTCGGCAAAGTCGCCGTCGTCCTGCTCGCCGTCGTCTCCCGGCGCCAGCATTGCGTCATCGAACTGCGCGCCAAAGAGCTCGCTCGCCCTCTCTCGCAGCAGGGGCTCGTAGAGGGAGATCCTCTCCGCGACCCGCAGCTTGACGAGCGCCGACGCTGGGTCGGGCACGTGCGAGATCACGAAGCTCCAGAAGACGCGTGCCGCAAGCCCACACATCTCATCGGTGCTTCCGGCGCCGTTCCTCGCACGCTCCACCAGCATCGCCACTGCGTCCGGGTCGCAGAGCGATGGCGGCAGCTCTGCGTCGGGCTCGCCCGTGAAGAGGGCGACGACACGGAACGCGACACGCCGTGTCTCGCGGTCGCGGTCCCGCGCCTGAGGGTAAGGCAGCTTCTCCATTATCAATGAGAGGATTACGCTATGGGCCCATCCCTCTCGCATCATCTCTCCCGCGCCTTGACGAGCGCCACCTTGAGCACCTCCTCGGGAGGGAGGTGGGGAGCGACGGCGAGCAGCAGCCGCGTCGCGGCGAGGCGAACCTTGCCGACTGCGTCGTACATGCAGGCGCCCACCGCGGCGTTCATCACCGACCCTCCGAGCGCGGCGAGGGCCTTCCTCCAGCCACCCTGCTGCTGCGCGTCTTGCTCGCCCTCGGGAGCCGCCGCCGCCGCGAACTCCTCCCAGAGCGCGTGCAGCAGCCGGATGGAGCCGAGCCGGGAAGAGCTGTCGAACTCCTCCTCGAGCCGCTGCCTCGCGGCCGCGCAGACTGGCTGCGAGACCTCCTGAAGGCGCCGCCACGCCATCTCGACGCGGCTGCTTTCAGAGGCGCCGGAGGGAATTGTGGCCATGCGCATCATCTTGGGGACCAGCCGGGCCTCGCCGCCGCTCGCCGAGCCTCGCCGCGTCAGCTCGGCCGCACACGAGAGGAGCGTCGCGCGGAGGCTCGCCCCGCCATGCGCGTCCGGGCCGGCGTGCGCGGGAGGAGAAAGGGCAGCGCCCAAGAGCCTCTCGATGCCGGCACGCTGCAGACGCTGCTCGACGGAGAGCGACTCCTCAAGGCAGAGGGCCGCGAAGCCAGCGAGGAAGGAGCCGAGCGCCGAGCGAAGGCCAGAGTTGAAGCCTGCGCCGCCGTCAGTATTGCAGGCGAGTCGCGCGAGGGCACTGACCGCTACGCCGAGGGTCGCCTCGTCCGCCCGCTCGTACGCGCGCTGCCAGCCCTCGAGGACGGCCTTTGCGGCGATGAAGTCGGGCGGAGGGTGGGAATCGGGGAGGAGAGGCAACGACATGCTCTTTTCGCTCCCCACAGATGGGAGCGCGGCGCTGTTCACACAAAAACACAAACAAATCTAATCAAAAACACAACCACGCACCCAAGACGCACAAGCTCAGACAGTCGAGAAAGGGATAGAAAGAGAAGAGAAGTCTCTAAAAATCTCTAGATCACGCTCCTGCCAGCAATCCGGAGCCGAAGTGCTGCACAACAACAGAGTACATCGTCTCAAGGACGATGTGGCCAAGCGCTGGTAGCGTGGCTTCACCTCACACCGCCTAGTCTCACTGCTTTCCCGCCACCCGGCGAGGGCGGTGGTCCACGGGACCTCCCCTTTCAGGACCTCGGCCGTGTTGAAGGGCTGCATGCCCTTTGCGAGCATACGCACCCAGATGAGGGGCCCCAGCAGGAGCACGACGAACATAAAAACGTACCCGTTCCAGATTACGGCGCCGCACACGCACGAGATGGTGTTGCAGTCCCCGAGCGCGGTGGAGCACGCGGCGCTGTCGCGCATGAAGTCGAACAGCGGGAGGTTGATGGCTAGCATAGCCACCGCCACGATGGACAGCATACCGGTCCGTGTCACCTCCAGCGTGAGCCCAAAGGAGGCGAGCTCCTGAGAAGTGCGCAGGTTGGAGAGGAAAGGGAGGACGAGGGAGAGGAGGACCACGACAGCCTGCCGTACGAGTGAGGCATGTGGTGTGTTCTGAGACTGGAGCGAGCCTAGGGGAGCGAGGGTCCCTAGGCGAGGGTCGTCGGGTGGCGCACATAGACGGCAGCGATCTGGATGAGGGTTGATGACTCGAGCTGACGGTCACACTTGCGGTAGTCCTTATGCGTGTGGTGAAGGTTGCATGCTGAAGCGAGCATCTTGGACATGCAGGAAAGCTAGGAGGAAAGCCCGGCCGCGCGGAATTGAAGGACGATGAGATACAATGCCAGCTGAAAGCGACCGTGTTGGCACGAATACCGCTTGTGTCAGACAAAATAAATCCCGAAAGGAGAATAACAACCGGCTTCCCTCTCCTTCCCACGTAAACCACCCTCATCCAGACAGAACGCGCCCCCTGTATAGGAGCTCATAGACCCAGCGCGCCCCTGCCGCATTTCCTCTCCCAGGGTTCCGGCTCCTACCCGGATAGGGGGTCTGTTGACACTGACTCGCGCCCTATCTACATATGTATCCCCTATGCGGTTGGAGCCAGAAACCCAGCTTCCGCAAATCTCGCTGGTGATGCGTCGGCGCGGAGCAGCAGCGGACAGCGAGTCGGAGGAGCTGTTGCTGGTCTCCACGAGAGCGACGATCACCAGGAAACGACGACCCAACCGAAGGGTCCTGGAGCGGAAATGGCAGACGTTTGTCGTCACAAAGCACGTGATGCTGCGGCTGCTCGGCGCCGTCTACTTCTTCGCCTTTCTCGGCGCGTACCTGCAAAACGGCGCGCTCCTTGGTGAGCGCGGCCTGATGCCGGCAAAGCCGCATCTCGAGCGGCTTCAAAAGCAAAACGCGGCCGGTGGCGGCTCGCGGCTCGACGGCTTCTTGTCTGCGCCCTCCGTCTACTGGTGGCTGCCGCTCAGCGACGCCTCGCTGGACGGCGTCGCCGCGGCCGGCGTCGCGATCGCCTCGCTCGTCTGCTGCGGCCTCCACTCTTCGGCGGCGATGGCGGCGATGTGGCTCCTCTACTTCTCCCTCGTGACGGCGGCCGAGGGCTCCACTTTCTACCAGTAGCGGGACGGGTCGGAGTCGCGGCGCTGGAGCAGCGGCAGGAACACGGCGAGGGCGCCCGTCTCGAGGAGCTGGCTCTCCCAGCCGTTATCCCGCGTCGTGCTGTGGCTCTTCCGCTGGCTCTCGTTCCGCATCTCGCTCGGCGCCGGCCTCATCAAGGTGCGCGGCGGCTCCTGCTGGGAGGCGCGCACCTGCCTGCACTACCACTTCGAGACGCAGCCGCTGCCTTCGCCCGCCTCGTTCGCCTTCCACTTCCTGCCAAAGTGGCTCCTCTCGCGCGGCGTCGACCTCGACCTGATCGTCCAGCTTTACGCGTCGTGGGCGGTGCTGGTGCCCGGCTGCGGCGAGCGCTTGCGCCGGCTTCGCCGCGCCGCCGGCGCGCTGCAGGTCGCCTTCATGCTCAACATCGCCGCCTCGGGCAACCTCTCCTTCCTCAACCACCTCACCGTCGTCCCGTCGCTCTCCTGCCTCGACGACGCCTGCTGGCGGCCGCTCGCCCGCCGCTGCCCGCGCGCCCTCGCCGCCCTCGTCGCAGAGCCCGCCGCCGCCCTCGGGAAAGCCGAGCCGCCGCCGTCGCGCCTCGCCCGCGCCGCGTGGGTGCTGCTCGACTGCGCCTTGCTCGGGGTGGTCGGATGGCTCTCTTGGCCGGTGCTTGCCAACCTGCTTGAGCTCAGTGGCGGGAGGCAGGCCATGAACGCCTCCTTTGGCGCCTTCAAGCTCGTCAATACGTACGGCGCGTTCGGCAGCGTGGGCGAGGCGCGGTACGAGCCCATCGTCTCTCTGAGCCACGACGGACGCACCTGGCACGAGGCGCC